GGAACGTTAAGGGGAAAGAACCAAACGGAACACACATCCTGAGACACACTCGGTTTAATCTGGGGCGAACATGCAGGAATTTCAAAAGACTCAGACAGACGAAGGCAGCCAGGCCATGGGGCGAAGCCAAAATATGCATGAAGAAAAATGCTATTAGGTCACCAGCCCTGGAGAGGCGGGAAGTCAGGAGGTGGGGAGGGTGCTAGGGGCGAGAGTTGGGGGTTGGAGGTGGAACGATTGTGACTAACATTTATCCTTAAGGAGTTACCCAGACACATTTTCCAATGCATACTCACTCACTTTTATGGGAAGTGCCCTCAGCAAATAAACCCCAGGATATCAAATTTTGTTTTTTGTGTGTTGGTAACATGAGAAATGGGTTACAAATTTGTTTCCTACAGTGAATACTTTAATAACTAAAAGTGAAATTTTGCAGGGAACAAAAGCCAGTAACACTGAAACCTGCCTCTTTTTCAGAATGCTGGCCTGATCTGTACTTTGAATGGAAGTAAAGAACCATCTTTCACCTCAACAGTGTCTACCAGGAAGTTTCATTGAGCAGGGGCTGGGGTGAGACTGCCTGAGAGAGCACTCAGGACAAATAAGCATTTTATCTGACCTTTTTCCCCCCTCTCTCTTTTACATCTAATAATTAGGTTTCACTTTGGATTTTAAAAATATAAGTCACCATTTGTTAAGTATCGAAAAGTCCTATGATGTTTGATTGATCTTCCAATTTAAACAAAAATGTTGCTAAAGAAACAGCTGGGATTCAGATTTTGGTAAAGAGAAGGGTGTAGGAGTGGCCAGAGGAGAATGGGCAGGAGGATAGGGTGGGAGGTTGGAAAGAGATGCTTAATGGACCAGATATTCACATACCACACAGGTTTTGGGCAGTGCTGGAGACATTTCAAAGGAAAATTGCTGCTAAACAGCTTGACTTAAAACTATGACTCAACACCAGATTTTAATAACCTTTTGTTGGTGTCATCCTTGACCTGTTGTCTGAGCTAGTGTCATCCTTGAGCTGAATACTTCAATATTCACCTATCTCTGTTAGTCTCTGTCACTCCACGTGTTTTTTTAAAAATATATTTTTAGTTATTTCAGGGAGAAAGGGAGAGGGAAAGAGAGACAGAAACATCAATGATGAGAGAGAATCATCCATCAGCTACCTCCTGCATGCCCACTTTGGGGATCGAGCCTGCAACCCGGGCATGTGCCCTGACAGGAATTGAACCCTGACCTTCTGGTTCATAGGTCGATGCTCATCCACTGAGCCACGCCAGCCAGGCTCTGTCTCTCCACATTGGTGATGTTGTGGACATCTGCTAATTGGACTGCTCAGCATCCATTTCCCTTTTGTTGTTGTTGTTGTTCTGAACAACTATTTTCCTTTGGGAAACTTCCTCTACCCATTGAATTGTGGCACTAACTGAGCATTCATGAGACTTCCCCCGCTTCAGGTAGTGGTCATGATATCCAAGCTTGGCTCATCACACTGTCTCCCTAGAATTTGACTCTTAAGCAGAAAGATACAGAGGTCAACAATGTTGGGGTCCACTCTCCCCACTACTTGAAGAAAGTGTCTATGGGGTTTGCTACACAGATTCCCCCTGAGCTGTGTTACACCAATATCTTTGAACACCTGGTCCTTCCATTTTTTTCCAATGTGTTCCTTTGTTCGGAGTCAATATCTGTTATTTGCCACCTAAAGAACCCTGACTGACACTGGGGGAATTGTGGCTGCTTCTCTCAACTACTCCGGTCACACAATTTTGAGTCCAAGGTGATAGGTTTGGCTCTTTTTGAGTCCAGTTGGATTTGCTCTGCCCATGACCCCATAGTGTCTTTGGTCACAAAGAGGTGTCAGATGGAAGCTTGCCAGTGGATTGGCAAACCTATTGCTTATATGATGAAGATAAAACTTCAAGTGCAAATCCCACTGATGACAGGTCAATGTTGTCATTTCTTTCTGCGAAGGTCAGAGACATCTCCAGCTGTCATTTTATGGACTTGATGCTGTGGTTAAAATTAAACTAGTCAATTTCTCCAAACCCACAAAGAGAAGATAGAGTAAAAAGAAGCAGGTGTATATAATTTGAATGGACAGGCCAAATTATAGGAGTAGCAGGAAGGGAGAGTGTATAATTACCTCTCATCTGAAAAAGATTCTGCGTGCACCCATGAAGTGTATTCCCCAGAAGAGAGAAGCCTGTAACTGCTAGTGCTTGACCACATGTTCCCGAGGGAAGACCTCTGCTGTGGAGGTCACTGTCAGAGCGGCCGACCACAGCAGCTCCTAATGGAGGGAAGAAAGTTTATGCTGGATCTCAGATAAAATAGCCTTGTTTCCAATCCTGGTGCTCACACAAAAAAGCTGTGTATCTTTGGACAGTTGATTTACTTTCCCTGGCTCTCAGTTATCTGTAGGAATCAAGAATTATCCAAATCTTTTCTAAAGTAGTTTTTCTAGTTTTAAAATCTCTGATTTTTGTGAATGTCTAAGTACTTGCAACTACTTTCAATTCATTCACTATAATGTTTCATTATGATTATTAATATTTAATTGAATAACTACTTCAGTTGGACTTTAAAACATTGGATGTATTTTATGTATGAGCTAGAGTTTGCAGACTGTGATTTTCCTTTTTTACTTATTTCCCATCAGTGAAATTCAATATCCATTTATTTCCTTTACAAATACTTTGAACGCATTTATGCTCTGAAGTGTAGTATACCGTAATGGTAATTGGCACACATGAGCACTCAATGAATATCAATGAGTTCATGCATTCTCAGAATTTATAGCTGAATGAGGTTCACCAATTTTTGAATTTGCTCCAACAGTTTAAAAATGTCTTTACTCTTATCAAAGTATAAGTAACTAATGAGAACAGTAATGGTGTGCAATATTTATTTTCTTTTAAACGCATTACTTTATGGGGGGAAACGCATTACCCTTTGTGACACATCCTAAAGAGATGCTTAATTGGTTTTCTCTCTCTTCCACTTTCTCTAAACTCTGGCTTAAGACTCAGCCAGCTGAAAACAAACATGTGGCTACCACATTGGGGACAATTGAAAGTGTTTGTGAGTCCTATGGGAGATAGTCTAGACACATATTGTACTCTCTGTTTAATGACAAAACAATTATTCACAATATTGGAGAAACCACAATTCCTTCTACTCAGCACTGAAATAATAATAATGGTAACTGCAGCTATATCAAGATACCTTTAGTTTTGGTAAGATCCACAGATGTTTTCACTTTGATATTGAGACTTTCTTTTTGTGGACAATTTTGCAGCGTATACCATAAGAGGAAGAGAGATGGAATGATGTCACTTTAAAAAAAATGTTTTTATTGATTTTTAGAAAGAGAGGAAGGAAGGCAGACAGAGAGACAGAAACATTGATGAGAGAGAAACATCATCAATTAGCTGCCTCCTGCATGGCCCCTACTGGGGATCGAGTCCACAACCCAAGCATGTGCCCTGACCAGAAATCGAACCTACAATTTCTTGGTTTCTGGGTTGATGCTCAACCGCTGAGCCACACTGGCCAGGCTGATGTCACTTTTTAAAAATTTTTATTTAAGGCTCTAGGCCAGCCGTGGGCAAACTACGGCCCGCGGGCTGGATCCGGCCCGTTTGAAATGAATAAAACTAAAAAAAAAAAGACTGTACCCTTTTATGTAATGATGTTTACTTTGAATTTATATTAGTTCACACAAACACTCCATCCATGCTTTTGTTCTGGCCCTCCGGTCCAGTTTAAGAACCCATTGTGGCCCTCGAGTCAAAAAGTTTGCCCACCCCTGCTCTAGGCTATCAATATTAAGGACTTAAACTGCAAAATCTGGCCCAAAATGGGGAAGTTGTCAAAAAAGGGAAAGTTGTCATAAAGCTATGTTCCTGATACTTAACTGTATTTGTATTTTGGGACTAATATTTTCCATATAAATGGAAAGTTGTGTTATATAGAAAGCCCAAACCATATAGTAGTGTTTCTGAACAACCAATTCCA